ACGCGCGCAGAGATGCGCGTCTCTGTGTGTCTCTGTGTGTGTCTGTTTGTGTCTCTGTGTCACTCTGTGTGTCACTCTGTCTGTGTGTGTCTGTGTGTATCTGTGTGTCACTCTGCACACACACAGAGACACACACAGAGACACACACAGAGACCCGCAGAGACACACAGAGACACACACAGAGACAGAGAGAGACACAGAGACACAGAGAGAGACACAGAGAGAGACAGAGAGAGACACAGAGAGACACACAGAGAGAGACACACAGAGAGACACAATGAGAGACACACAGAGAGACACACAAAGACAGAGAGAGACTGAGAGAGACAGAGAGTGGCCGAGAGAGACACAGAGAGACACAGAGAGACAGAGCAGAGACACGCAGCACACAGAGACACACAGAGACACACAGAGACACAGAGAGACAGACACAAACAGAGACACACACACACAGACAGAGACACACACAAACAGAGACACACACACACACAGAGACACACACACAGATGGAGACACACACAGACAGAGACACACACCGACAGAGACACACACAGACAGAGACACACACAGAGAGACACAGAGAGACACACACTCAGAGAGACACACAGAGAGACACACACACAGACAGAGACACACACACACACAGACAGAGACACACACAGACAGAGAGAGACACACACAGACAGAGAGACACACACAGACAGAGACACACACAGACAGAGACACACACAGACAGAGACACACACACACGGACAGAGAGACACACACAGACAGAGAGACACACACAGACAGAGAGACACACACAGACAGAGACACACACACAGACAGAGAGACACACAGACACAGAGACACACACACACAGACACACAGAGACAGAGACACACACAGACAGAGACACACACACAGAGACATACACACACACACACACACAGGGACACACACACAGACACACAGACACACACAGACACACACACACACACACAGACACACACACACAGACACAGACACAGACACAGAGAGACACAGACACACACACAGAGAGAGACACGCAGAGAGACACACACACAGAGAGACACACACACAGAGAGACACACACAGAGAGACACACACACAGAGAGACACACACACACACAGACACACACTTCAATACCCCAAGGGGTGGTTTAGTACATTCGTGTACGTCATGCAAGAGAGGAGAGGAGAGACAGGTTCCGCTGCTTAATATCGAGTTGCCTTCAGGCTGTAGAGTCAACAATGAACGCATCGCTAATCGAGCCACTGGTCCTTACAAAGCAACAGCGGAACACACAACACAAAGTGGCTGCAGGTACGTCACCAGGCGTCCCTGGTGATATCCTCAGGCTGCTGTGGAGAGCTTTGTTAGATGGAGCTCCACAGGCCTGCTCCACCGCCTGCTGAGAATCGGAAAAGGTGGCGACAGGGTAAATCTGTCGCTCCGCACACCACCGTAGCCCTCGGAGGAGCAACCCTAAAAACACGCGCCCGAAAGACGGACGAAGAAAACAAACGGAGCAAGAAAGCAAAGAAACAGAAAGCCCAACGTTGGGTCTCCGCGGGCAAAACCCCAATCAAGAAACAAGACAAACGGGGACACCAGGCAAGAGCCCGAAACAGCGCAAGACTGACCTAAACCTGGAAGAAGAAGACCGCCGCGAAGTTGAAGAGCCGGAGGCCATCCCTAAGCGGGCGAAGGGCAAGAACAGGGACAGGCAAAAGAAGGGACCCAAGAAGAAGAAGAAGAAGCCATCCCGCAAAGGGGCCAAGAGCACGTACAGCACGAGTCAACGGAAGAGGTAGAGGACGTCAAGCCAAACTGCGGGAAGAAAAAGGAGAGCGCCGACGTGATTGCAAACAGGACGAAAAAGTCAAGGATGAAGGCGAAAAACTCGAAGACAAAGAGGCCATCCCTAAACGGGCGAACAGGAGGAGGACCAGCAGGCGATTGCCTACAAGCACGAAGAAGGGGACGGGAGGAAAGAGAAGCCATCCCTAAACGGGCGATGAGCCAGAAGTCGGTCAACAGGAAGACATAGACGATGCATGAAGAGGGGGGGGGCGGGGGTGTTTCTTGTTTGCTTCTTGTTGAATCAAGACTCCACTCATAGGCAACATGTACAATGTGGTGTGACTTGACACTACCTTGCGGTCAACAAGAGTGCTTGCAGCGCACATAACATTCTTTCTCTTTCACCAACTACGTGGCCTGCACACTTGACTTCACCGGAATAGGTTCAGGGACAACCATGAGGTATTCCTTGTTGGGGCCACGATTGAGGCCCCGGTAATCCAACCTCAATCGCGGTAGCGGAGCAGGTTTTCCGTAAGAATGTCGAGCGAAGAAGACTTCTCGATGACAGATTCCGCATGGGCCTTTGCAGGCCGTCATGGCGGAGATATGTCCACCAATGAGGAGATCCCGAACCTTCTGCATTCTGAAACAGGAGAATATGAAGGAGAAGAAGGATTCTGGGTCGAAGATGAAGAAGGAGCAGAAGGCCTTTCTTTAACCCTTTCAGAAAAGCACCGACCGGCGGCAAGGCCAACATGGCCGATGAGATCACCACCGATCAAGCAGACTGGGGAAAGAAAGGCTCAAAGAATCCATGGTCCAACAATCCAACAAGGGAAAAGGAAATTCATGGAACAAGTCCAAAGACTACAAAGGAAAGGATTCCAGCAAGGACACCGACCAGAAAGGAAAAGGAAGGACAAAAACCATAGCAAATTCAACTGAAGAAGTTGATGCTAGCAGACGTAGAGTCACCCAAAATGGCTTGACCTACGACATGATTCCGCATGCAACACCACGAAGAGCTCAGGCCCTGCAGCAAACTAAGGGCGCCCATCCTGAATCAGGCCGAACATCCTTGACAATGGCTGCACAAAGTCCACGGGCAGTTGGTATGCAGTGGAGAGATTCATCAAGGCAATTGAACCATATCCGCATCGGATGACTTACGACTTCACAAGGCTCACCTTTGCCAACGGTCAACAATCCAAGGTTGACTGGACTCTCCGACTGTACTTCAACACTTCAACCACCTGTGGTTACCTACATAGACATCCTAGAGTCCTAGAGCAAGGATCTCCGACTGTACTTCAACATTTCAACCACCTGTGGTTACCTACATAGACATCCTAGAGTCCTAGAGCAAGGACAGGTACCAATCCTGCTGAGCATAGATGAGATGCGAAATCTTCACATGACCATTCCTCAATGCGACAAGATTACATGTCAAGCATCCGGCATGTATAAGCAACCAGTGCCCATATCCAGTAGTGGTCGCGCAATGTTTGATCTAGCAGCATTTTGCAAAAAGCACGACATCACAACAGCAGCAAATGCAGTCGATGACGACACGACCAAACCACCTGCACAACCATCTTTGATTGCCGCTGCATATCCGGCCAAGACATCCGAAAAGAAGTCAGCAGCCAAGGCACCGGCAGAAGATGGCACTGAAACCATCAGAGATTTGAACAACGACCACTGGGTAGTCAATCAATCGCGCAACCAACGAACTCCACAGAGTTCACAAGTGCAAGAGAACTATTCGCACCTGACACCAGCAAGACCTGTCCAATTCCGTTGACACAGATCCACAACACGAGAACAACCAAGAAAAAGATACCAGAGACAGAACAACCAATATCCACAGTAGAGGACAATTGGCGACTCAAGACAGCAACAGCAAAGACAGCGCCAGAGTTGTGGATTGGTTCAACAATATTCAAGTTCTCTGAGACACCACTCTCACCAGACGAACTAAAAGCACAAACAACAGCAGACAGGATCATACACACACCAGGCCGGCATGCCACTCCGATCCTGCTGCTCCACAACTCTACCAAGTGCACTGCGACGAATCCACGAGCGACTAGCAAAACCAGAAGAGCTACGCAAACTTCACCTCAAACATCACCACATGTCAGGAGAACAGTTCAAGTTCAGGACCCGCGCGCTCCATTTGCCGAAGGAGACCTAGGATCTGTACGACAAGATTCGCGCCGAGTGTGAACCCTGTCAGAAGGCTGCGATAAAATGTTCAGAGATCCAATGGACATTCAATTTCAGAATGATCACTTTCGCTCCGGACATTGGCCTGCTGGCCCCCGGCCATCCTAGGTCCCACAAAGGCTCTTTCTGTTTCAATCGTCGATCGTTCGTGTACATAGCACAGAATAGAAATCGCCGGAAAACTTTTGCGATTCGTTCATATGGCTACGGTACAGTAACTTTCAGGCCTGTCGAACCAAAGGCTAGTTCTACACCAATTCGCTGTGCCATGAGTGGAAACAAAATTTGTGTCTGTTTTGTTTCTTGTTTGCTTCTTGTTGAATCAAGACTCCACTCACAGGCAACATGTACAATGTGCAGATCCTCCGCTGCCATTTGGTTCACAACCATATGTACAGGCCTAGTGTGACTTGACACTACCTTGCGGTCAACAAGAGTGCTTGCAGCGTAAAGTTGGCCTACACACTTGACTTCACCGGAATAGGTTCAGGGACAACCACGAGGTATTTTTTATTGGGGCGACGATTGAGGCCCGGTAATCCAACCTCAGGGGGAGGGGGGGAGGGGGAAAGCACGTGTGGACGCAGGAGGTAACCCCGCCTTGATGAGCTTGAAGGTGAAACTTCCACGAGCACATCGATCGAACTGAGGTCACCCAACTGAGTTTCATCTCTCTGAGGTTATCGTGAAACAACTGAGGTTGCTGAACTCCGCAAATCGGACCCGAGGCCACACCAGGATTCACTCGAGGATCTCCCTTTCAGGATAACACACTTCAATACCCCAACGGGTAGTCTAGCAAATTCGTGTGCGTCATGCAAGAGAGGAGAGGAGAGACAGGTTCGGCTGCTTCATTTCGAGTTGGCTTCAGGCTGTAAAATCAACAATGAACGCTTCCAGCCAGTGGTCCTTATAAAGCAACAGCGGAACACACAACACAAAGCGGGCGTCCCTGGTGATATCCTCAGGCTGCTGTGGAGAGCTTTGTAAGATGGAGCCCCAAAGGCCTGCTCAATTCCCCTGATGAAAGTCGGAAAAGGTTGCGACAGGGTAAATCTGTCGCTCCGCGCACACACGTCACACAGAGAGACACACACGCACACGCACACGCCCACGCCCACGCCCAAGCCCACGCCCACGCCCACGCGCACGCGCACGCGCACGCGCACGCGCACGCACACGCACACGCACACGCACACGTGCACGCACACTTGCACGCACACTTGCACGTGCACGCACACGTGCATGCGCACGGGCACGCACACGTGCACGCACAGACAGGCAAAGACAGACACAGGCAGACCCAAAGACAGACACATAGACACACACCCACACACACAGTCACAAAGACACCCGAGAGACACTCGCACAGAGAGGCACACACACACACCCGCACACCCGCACACCCCACCCATGCACATGCGGGAATGCCCCACGCACCCACACGCCTTTGCTGTTCTGCTGCTTTGCAACAAAGCAGGCTCGAACAATTTGCCAAGAAAGTGAAGGTGTGGATGCCTCAGTGAGGGCTTGGCGTTTGCCGCTTGCTAAGCTGGTGCAGATTGGCACTGCTGAAGGCAATGTGCATTTTCACTCCCAATGTCTCCACCATTCCTTTGATGGCCGGGGCGTGCGTGCTTTTTGTTCACATTCGCGGTAGAGATAGATGCAGGCAGTCAAGTCTGATGGAGGTTTTGGCTACGCCGCAAGCTTGGATGCGTAGTGTTGCAGTGACAGTGAGAGTTTCACGCTCCATGCCTGCCATTCGACAATTTTGCAAGGACTCGACTGACCTTGCAGCAATTTACCATCGCCTCTTCGTCATGAGGGCAGATTGGTGGCCTGACTGAGACATAAGTTGAAGCAAATGGCCAGGACATGCGGACTTGTTGCCAAGGATTGTTTACGTGACCGATCTGGGGCAGGCGCCTAGCTCAGCGGCATACGTGTTGCAGCGCGGCGTGATGGACCTAGAAGCTGACACGCAGCCAGGAACAGCATTTCCATATGATCTTTGATGCGGCCAAGCAGGTCAGCTGACGTTCACCGCACCACGGTGAAACAAGCACGATCATGTCAGCCCTTTCAGGCGGGATGGCACACGCCGCCCTTTACACGCTGCGACCATATGGGTGGCTCGCCAGCAGTTTTGCGTTTTGTTGCAATAAGTAACACGCATGCTTCCGCCTAAGGATTTGGTGTCGTGCAAGGGGAGGACAAGAAGAAGTTCAAAACCAGGCTTTGTGAGCACTTGCTTGTGCTGCTTGCGAGCTTGTCAGATGCACCTTTTCAGGTCGGGGGAGACGGTGAAGCTCAGCGACTTGCTTAACGAGGCGCCCGTAAGCCTCAGAGCCGTCAACCTGAGCGATTGTGCCGACAGGCAGTCCAGAGAGCCAAGCAAGCTGCCTGGCTGCGAAGACCGGCTAGCGCTACTCATGTTTCAAATGGCAAAGGTCACTGGTCCAAGGAAATCAGCAGCAGGGTGGAGCAGCAGCAGAAGGATGGCGGCGAGGCTTTCCTGGTAGATCCGCAGGCCAGCAGCGTAACTAAAGCTTAAGGCTGTGTGGATTGATAGGGACGGGCTTGGACAGCTAAGCACGCACGCGCAGATGCATGTCGTGTTCACGATTGCAGCTTCACTTATCTAGGTCAATTGTTGCAGTTCAGGAGCAGCAGGATGCCGCTGAAAAGATTGGAATCGCAGCAGTTAGGTATTTTGACATGAAGCAGTCCAGCACTCAGCAGAACGAACCCTTAGAATGCCAAGCAATTTCTCATTTTCCAAGATTGCAGGAATAGAACGACAAACTATGTCTTCAATTGGGACCGAATGTTGGACCCCAAGGTACGGCGTCGGCGTGTTTGTTTTACAAGCGTCCAAGTCTTCCTGCTTGACCCGTTGACAGGGGAATTCTGCAGTCTTCCTTTTCTATGCCTACGCAAGGATTCGCGTCTGGGCATCAGCCGGGGGGGGGTTGGGGGCGGGGATGCAGGAGTATGTATTTGACTGTTTTGATGTGTGTGTGTGTTTGTTGTGTCACAAGCAAGGGACTGTCGGCTTTCCTCACTTGCTGCTCGCATGCGTTGCCGGGACAGCTGCCCAGTCCATCCAGAGAAAGTCTGGCATTGACATCGCAAGTATTCCGCCAAGCTGTCTTGAGGCCGTTCTTGCTTTTCACCAGCTCTTAGCGGGACCAGCGTGTGCTTTGCCAGGTGAAGCATCCCACAGAGAGAGACCTTGTGCCGCCGCCTTTCAGTTTTGGTTTTCGGGTAATCCGGCACGGTTGGCCTGAAGTTGGCACGGCCTGAAGTTGGCGTAGTGGCGGATTGCATCACTGACGTTCTGTTGGAGCAAAGCAAGCTCCCCACAATGAAGAAAAATTGTGCAAACAGCAGGCTCAAGATGGATTGAAAAGGCGATGTGGCGCGGAAGCAAGCGCGGTGTCTCCATTTTAGCTAGAATGCTGCGATTCTGCAACATCTCGCGCTTCAATAAGCATTCTGCGACTCAGCGAGCAAAATGTCCCAGGATTGAGTAAGCAAAGTTCTGCGTCCGTGTCCACTCACATCGAAAGTCAGTCAACTTGAGAACGGCTCGATTCGATTGCCCGACATCGAACAACCAAATGGTGCTACAGTTCTTGATGATGCAGCGAAGCATTGTGCTTAGAAGCCGGGTCGTTTATGTTCGATTTGTCGGCAGATGCTTCGGCAGCGAACACTCCTGCATGTGATGTGAAGCTTTAAGCCAGGGCCCAGGGGATCGATAGGACCCCAGACCCACTTGAGTCGAACCCCCAACCTCGCTGGCTCCAAAACAACCTCGGGCCCGCGCAAAACCCACCCGTCAATCAACCTCAACTTATCGTCAGCCCACCCAAAGTCAAATGAAAACCCACATGCTCCAAAGCCAACCTGCGCCACCCCGCAAACCAGAAGTCAAACCCATCCTGACAAAGCCAACAACCGCCCGAAGGTGCCAGCCGTGGAGTCTGGTAACAATAGAATTCACCATGCCCAAGGCTAAACAGGAACATAAGGTTCTACAGGTTATCAGGCGGAACAGCCTTGATTGTACAAATACAAATGGTACAGGCTCTGCCGTGGACGGCAATCAAGCTTTGCCGACGATGCGTGCTAGCTCAGAAGCTGCGCAAGGACTAGCGAGCGATCGACAAGCACCCACTGCCGAGCCAAACCACGCGAACCACGTGCAGCCAAACGTCAACCAGGATGCTGGTCGATGGTGGCACAGGTAGCGAAGCACGTCACAATGAGTAATGAACATCCCCGGGGGGGAATCGAACACCCCAATGTTTTACGCAACTGTGTCCAACCCCCAGAAGCGACCCTCGGGGTAAGAGGAGGGGTAAGAGGTAAAGAGGTAAGGAGCATCTCTTATGTCCAACACGCTGTCTGTTGTCGGCGGGTTTAGCATTGCCAATATGGAATTTGGCATGGGCAATGCTAAATACAGTGCTTTTCAATAAGGAATTGACTTTTAAATTCCTTACTAATGCCCTGGAAAGATTTTGGCTTCGAGAAAGCGGGAAGCTCTGCCAGACCAAACTTGCCCTTTTCATTGCCAGTACTAACTGTATTATTGTCAAAGAGCCTTGTTCTGACAACATTCAACCTGTCTGATCCCCTGATGGGATGTGCCACTTCCAAGGGTTTGCGTAGGAGTTTCAGGATTTGGGGTTAGTCTAACTTCTGGGCCCAACCTCCGTCGATTTTCTGGTAATTCTGGTTTTCTGTGCGTTTTTCTCGCGTTCTCGGCATGCGTTTGCGGCTTTTTTGGGCTTGCGCCTGCTGCAGGGCAGCCGTTTGCGCTGAAAACTGGCACGAAAAGAGCCTAGGAATGTATATATGTAATTGTTTGACGGATCAGGCTGTCGAGTTTGTTCATGTTTGTGGGCTTGCGGACTCTGGGTATGTGTGCTATGTTTGCTAAAGCTCCCTTAAAGTTTTAAAAGGGCCAATAGTGGTTCAACTGTCCAAGCGGTGTCTTGGTTTGGGTGCAAAAGCCTTGCCAACAGAATCAGTAAAGTCAACCTTCTCAGCTGGAGAATTTGCTGCCGGAGTTCAAGAGGCCCAGCGAATCTCTAGAAAGCAAAAGGCTTGCAGATAGAACAATACTTACAACATACAGATGTCGCTAACAGCAGCCTACAAACATTCGCAATGATTGATTCTCACTCGCGTTTGATGTTCCCTAATTGTAGTACTTTTCATCTTTAGAAATGCGCAAATTCATTCACTTTAAAACATAGACGCAAACAAACGCAAGCGTACACGTGAAGAGGTAAACAACACCTGGCGCTGCTCTGTTTCCCCGCGCTGGCTGCCTGAGAGGTTCGAGTTACACATCACCTAGTCATTGCTGTCAACGCATTTGTCTTTTGCCTTTGCCCCCTGGGTCGTGCAGTTTCCTGCGTCGGGGCCCGCGATGCTGAGAGCACATAGTGCGCGCGCGTGTGTGTGCTGGCAATTGCCCGATGGGTGCCTCTGGCACACATGAGCCTCTCACCATGCACAAGCATCACTGCATCTAAAATGACCTTGTATGTTGCTTCTGCCGAGTGTCTTTTCAAGTAGGTTTGCTGAAGCGTTGCAGCGCGAAGGGCAAGCACTACGATATTCAAATCGCGAGTCGAGGCTGAAGCTCCTTCAGTTTCCAGATGTGATGCAGGCGGGGATTTTTTGCTGAATGCTCATTGAGATGCACTAGCGTTGCTGCAGGCAATTTTGGCTGACCTGCATTTGCACCATTTGACCGACTACCTTTGGGAGTGCCTTGGATGTCAGTCTTGCGCGCGTTCATCATGTTTCGCCGCATGTTTTGCAAACGCGTGCTGAAGGCTATGCAACACCCTGACGGCCTTCTACATGAAATGCAAGGCCATACAAATGCCCTTGTCGCCACGCAGTTTCTGCGGTCCGTGACAGATCTCATTGAGGTGATTGGCGATGAGGAGCAGTCCAGCAGGCTGCTTTTGTGCGAGGCCACGCGAAAGGCGCCTGGCGAAGCATGCGCCAGACACGCTTGCCATGGATGGCCAGCGGCAGATGCGCGCAGGTCCTTCTGAAAAGCTTCCAATTGCTCGGCTTCACACCACTCGACAAGATATAACCGGCGGGAGGCAAGAGGAAGCATGCTGGTGTACAGAGGGCCTTGCGCGCGCTATCGTCGAAGTCATGGTTCTCATGTGTATTCCAGCGAAACCTTCGCAAAGGAAAGGCCAAAGGATTTTATAGGTTGCTGAGGCCTCAGGTTCGCAATTGAAGCCCGAAGATCGCGGCCAGCGCATGACTTTGTACAGCCTGACAAGCCAGGAGCAAGTCGCTGACACTAGTATGGTAGTTTGGTTGCGTGAGCAGAAAAGCGTGATTTGGCCGCTGAACGTATCAGATTCTGAGTGGAACTCTTCACGCACGGAGCACTCACTATGACGTATCCTACAATGACCCCCACCCACCGCCAAGCCCCAGCACGACTCAACATTTTTTTTAATTAAATATGTCTGTAATTAATATAATTTAATTAGATAATAGTAAATAATCTTTTAACAATTATGTGCATATACATGTTATTATTTTTTAATGTATATTTATGTGTTTTTATATATTTGGTTTAATTGAAATAAGAATAAAATATATATGGCTATTTCAAATAATTAAAAATGAAACGGTTTTTTAGAAATTTTATATTATATATGTTGAAAAACATTTTGATTTTTCCTCAACAGCTGAAAGCTTTGGGGTCTCAGCCCGGGTGGTCCGGGGCGGCCCTGAGGTAAGGTTCCACCAGGTTTCCACCAGGGTTCCACGAGGGTTCTACCAGGGTTCCACTAGGGTTCCACCAGTTTCTGCGAGGGCTGCGGGTGGCCCGAGCTGGTTTGAGGTAAGGTTCCACCAATTTCTTCAAGAGCTGCGGGGTGGTCCGGGTGGTTTGAGGAAGGTTCCAGGCTGCGGGGTCGTCCGGGGTGGTTTGAGGAAGGTTCCACGAGGGTTCCACCAGGTTCCACCACTAGGGTTCCACCAGCGTTCCACTAGGGTCCAGCAGGGTTCCACCACCAATCTTTTCAAGAGCTGCGGGGTGGTCCGGGTGGTTTGAGGAAGGTTCTAGGCTGCGGGGTGGTCTGGGGTGGTTTGAGGAAGGTTCCACGAGGGTACTACTAGGTTCCACCAGGGTTCCACCAGGGTTCCACCCAGGTTCTGCAAGGTCCGTGGTTGAGGTAAGGTTCCACGAGCGTTCCACCAGGGTTCCACTAGCTGTGATACGGGGTGGTCCGGGCTGGTTTGAGGTAAGGTTCTATGAGAGGGTTCCACGGTTCTGCGAGGGCTGTGGGATGGTCCCGGGCGGCCCTGAGGTTTCACAAGGTTCAACAGAGTTCCGCAAGAAATGTGTGCAAGATTCAGTGTGTCGTGCGCCCGCCGTCTGAAAAGCCATTGCTCATGGGCGGAACACTAAGCAAAACCGAAGTCAATGGTTTTCAGCACACTTTCATTGTTTTGTCACCTGCTCATTTGCTCAGGCAACGCGGCCCGAAATGTTGGCTTTTTTGCAAATCAGATCACGTTGCTGCGGGACTCACGGTGCAGTAGAGTAAATGCTTGGCATTGCTGGGTATTCCTTGGTGGGCTTTGAGTTCAATGAATTCAAAAGCCGAGGTTTCCGCCAGGTTCTGCAAAAGCCATGAGGCGGCCCTGAGGAAAGGTTCCAACAAAGTTGCACGCTGAGTTCTACGAGGGTTCCGCCCAGGTCGGGGCCCGATTGCGCCGTCGGGGCCCGATTGCACCGTTGGGGCCAATTGCGCCATCGCGCCCCGGGCCCTGCCAACTGTACCAAGCTGGCGTCGCCACAGTTTTGCTAGGTACAGTTGGAAGGCCGCATCCTAAGGAAAGCCGGCGTTGAGCTGTAACATGGGTGGCTGGGCACCACGGGACCCGATCGGGCCCCGATTGCACCGTCGGGCCCCGACGGATTACCCCGATTATAATTCGGAGGATATAATGGCTTAATATTTTGTAGGAACTAATTTCCCGAAATATTCTGGATATTTCGTCCAAATCGTAATTATTTATTATTTTCCCAAAATATTCCGAATATTTCGGGAATTGTTTTCCCCAAATATTTCGCGGAAATGTTATCTATAACAATTTTAGCTGAAGTTTTGGTCCATCTTCCGAGCGTTTAGCGATGCGAGAAATTGTGAGCCGCGGTCGGTTGTTACGAACAGTGGTGTGTTTCCCAATGTTTTGGGCGAGATTAGTTCGATTTTGCTTGTACCTAGAATATTTTCTGGTCGATCGCGTTTTCGTTTGCGTTTGCAACAATTGTATATGTGGATGGATCTTTTGAGGCCAACAGTCCGCGGATACCTTGCTCAGGCGACCGCCTTTCACTGACTCCTTGGCATGACTTTATCGCGACTAGCCCGGCCCTCAGTGCATCTCGCGACTTGTGCTTGGAAAACGGCATACTTTTAGCATACGAAGAATCTTGGAATTCTTTGACACATATGATAAAATATATTGGTGCCTGAGTTGCAAAAAATGTCTTGCCGGCGCGGGCTCTATAAGATTTGTTTTGATCTTGGCACATCCACCACGGCCTGGGCCTTGGCCTGAGAGCTCAGCTTATGCGATGCCTTGGGAAGAGTGCATGAAGTTTCGTGATATCGTGTTTTTGCGGACGCTCTGGTCTCGACTTGTGGATTGTTTTTGACGGGTCAGAATATGCTAGAACTCTTTTTTATGATTATTTTCTCTTTTTTGGCACCCGTCTTAATTTACCCCCAATTGCTGGTTTGGATTGGCGGTTTGGGAATTGAACCCCTGGATCATATTGTAGTTAAATAGGAAATCACCCCCGATCGTACCATGCGCTTTCCGATGAGTGTATATTATGTCTCTATGTCCGTGGCTGGTCTTTGGTGCGACCTTATCGGGCCGTCAGCGACGTAGACCTCTTTTTCCAGGCGTATCTAAGAGCGATTAGCCCGGCACTCAGTGCATCGCGACCTGTGCTTGGAAAATGGCATGTTTTTTCATATACGAAGAGTTTTGGATTTCTTTGATACATATAATAAATTATGTTAGTGCCTGAGTTACAAAAAATGTCTTGCCGGCGCAGGTTCTACAAAATTTATTCTGTTTTTGGCATACCCACCACGGCCTAGACCTTAGTCCCTGAGAGCTTGGCTCACGCAATATTCCATAAGATTTTCCAGATATTGTTTGACCGTCAGCCGAGCCTTTCACAAATCCGTATCAGGTGCGGAGCTGCAGGCAAAGCTGCGGGCGGATGCCTTGCCCAACTACGAAAGCCAATCCGGCGGGCTATGGCCTTAATCACTTTGTAAGGGCTTGTTGAGGACCTCCCCTAGGCTTATGCTGGGGATATTTTGGCGGGTTCTATACATACGGCCGGGCGTTCTGGATTTTGGGGGGAGCGCTGAAATACAGGATGCACATTATAAAGAGACATACTCCTACGGTTTCGGTTACTCAGCATGCTTGGTCATGAAACGACCTACTGCATCATCAAATGCCGGCTAATCTCGCCAAGAGACGGAGTGTTCGTGCGGGCTAGTCAGTGGCCTTCACCATTGCTTTCCATCAGAATCTACCATGCCTAACGCACGGCGATTTTTTTGGCCAGCAATGGCGCACCGGATGGGGGAAGGCGGATGTTCTTTGCTTTTCCATTTGATCTTATCAACCCTCCCCCGGGTTGAGAACTTCAAATGGAAAGGCCGAGAAAATCGTCCAATATGCTTTCACCCCTCCCCGAGCTAAGATCTAAGTGCCCTCCCCGAGCCAAGATCCAAGTGCCCTCCTCGAGCCAAGATCTAAGTGCCCTACCGGAGCCAAGTGCCCTACCCGAGCTAAGATCCTAGTGCCCCTACCCGAGCTAAGATCCTAGTGGGCTAGTCAGTGGCCTTCACCATTGCTGTCCATCAGAGTCTGCCATGCCAAGGGGCAGGGCGGAACCTAACCGCTTTAGAGGAATGCGAAGCTTCGTGTTTTTTTAAACAACCTGGTTGATCCTGCCAGTAGTTATATGCTTGTCTCAAAGACTAAGCCATGCATGTCTCAGCTTAAGTTTTTATACGGCGAAACTGCGAATGGCTCATTAAAGCAGTTATAGTTCATTTGATGGTCACTGCTACATGGATAACTGTGGTAATTCTAGAGCTAATACATGCGCAAAAACCCGACTTTGCAGGAGGGTTGTGTTTATTAGATACAGAACCAACCCAGGCTCTGCCTGGACATGTGGTGATTCATGGTAACTTGATGAATCGTGTGGCTCTGCCGACGATGCATCATTCAAGTTTCTGACCTATCAGCTTCCGACGGTAGGGTATTGGCCTACCGTGGCAATGACGGGTAACGGAGAATTAGGGTTTGATTCCGGAGAGGGAGCCTGAGAAACGGCTACCACATCTAAGGAAGGCAGCAGGCGCGCAAATTACCCAATCCTGACACAGGGAGGTAGTGACAAGAAATAACAATACAGGGCATCCATGTCTTGTAATTGGAATGAATAGAATTTAAACCCCTTTGCGAGTATTAATTGGAGGGCAAGTCTGGTGCCAGCAGCCGCGGTAATTCCAGCTCCAATAGCGTATATTAAAGTTGTTGCGGTTAAAAAGCTCGTAGTTGGATTTCTGTTGGATTTCTGTTGGGGGTGACCGGTCCGCCTTCTGGGTGTGCATCTGGCTCAGCCTTGACATCTTCCTGAAGAACGTGCCTGCACTTCGCTGTGTGGCGCGGCATTTAGACAGACAGACAGACAGACACGGCCTTTGGCGCGAAACAACGCCAAAGCCAAACACCTGGCAGCATCCCTCGCAGCAGCTTACCCGCTGGAGTTCAGGCCAGGGAGATGGCTCCGCAAGCGTCATGGCCAACCCAAAGCAACAACGGCAACCGCGACAACAAACGAAAACGAAAACGACGAAACAACACCCGACAAGAAGTGGCCAAGGGCAAAGGCTCCAGCTGGAAACCTGCCAGGACAAACAAACGGCACAAGCTCAAGCAATGCCGGCATGCAAGCATGCATGCAGGCAGTGCAGGCATGCATGCAGTGCAGGCATGCAGGCGGTGCAGGCAATGCAGGCATGCATGCAGGCAATGCAGGCATGCGTGCAGGCAATGCAGGCATGCATGCAGGTAGTGCAGGCATGCATGCAGTGCAGGCACGCACGCAGGCATGCATGCTGGAAGCGCATCCCGGAAGGGCAGGCATGCAGGTGATGCATGCATGCATGCAAGCACTCATGCAGTAAGGCCAAACAAGCATGCGCAGCTTTTGCGGACAAGATGTCAGTCAGTCAGGCTGGTTGGGCAAGTTGGACTTCCAGCAACCGACCTCTGCGCCGCTGGCGAACTCTGCCCTCTTCGAGGAGCCGGCGCAGCATGCGCCGCACTTGCGGATCAGGCTAGCCAGCTTCTGCTGCAACTTCCTGGACCAAGGCGGTGCAATCTGCCCACGCTTGGCCCCGCAGCCGCCGGAGTAAGCAGCGGCGGGCACCGCGACTCGGCCCTCGCGGCGGCGCCTGCAGTGGCGCGCCGGCCCCAGGCCGCAGCTGGCCAGCCACTTCAGCCAGATGGGCAGCCAACGGCCCCTCCAATGTTGGCTGCGGCCTTGGTATCTGTTGGGAGGCTGCCTGCACCAGCTGCCACCAACAGTCCGGGCAAAAGGCGCCGGGCTCTTGCGGCCGCGGCCGGTATAGCAGGCTGCAGCCCCGGTTCCAGGCGCACCCTCCGCGATGGTGCAAGGTCATGCAGCAGCCCCTGCACAAGTCTCCGTGCAAAGACCGGCACCAGCGGCACGGCAAAGCATCCGCCAAGGCTATAGGGGGCAACTTGCAGCCGCCGCAGGTTTCGCAGAATCCAAGCCGTGGGTGGCCCAAGTGGCAGGAGCACGGGGGCAATGTCAATTGCATCCGAACTCCGTCCCAGGTCCTCCAACCTACGCCCCACTCCAAAGCCTCGCCGTTCAGCACTGGAAGGCCGTGGGGCTGCAGTAGGCGCAACGGATCAGCCGGCAATCTGCCAGGCACCTCTTGTCGCAAGCGGGCTAGGAGCACAGTCCGGGGAGCTACTTGCCACCGCAGTTCGCGTATGGTAGCTTGCCCATTCATGGTCAAGGCCCATCGGCCGAGCTCCGGCCCAAGCACGGGCCCTTCCGGCCGCTGCTGCTGCTGCGCTTGTGGGAGCAGTTGCCAGCGCTTTGCTTGAATCCAGGAGTCGATGCGAGCGTGGTATTGCGCCCGGATCGCACGCAGCCCAAGCGCTAGCAGCGTGGTGCACGCAATGACAGGCTCCCACTGTCTGCGAGCGGCCCTGCGCCTGTCCTGCTCCCGTGACAGCACTTCCCCAGCCTGTCGCAAGGAAGTGTGGCCGTCATCCACAGGTCGCTCTGCAAGATCAGGCTCTGCCAAGGACGGCGCGCAAGCCCGGCAGAGCGCATGCCCGAGGGACTTTGGTACAAGAGCACGGTAAGCCAACTCGTGGGGCCGTTCATCAAGGGTGCCCGCAGCGCTGTGCCCGCCATCATCGCGGCCCAGAAGTCTTTCCCGACCTTCCAAGCACACAGCCCAGCCCCAGGCAGAAAGAACAGGCCAGCGGTCTCTTGCCTGTGCGTTGGCAGCAGGCGCGTGAAGGCCCCATGTTGTCCTTGCTTGATCAAGCCACCAGTCTGTGCTGCAGAGAGAAGCAAAATATTGCTCTAAGGCATCCCGCAGCTCATCCGCCATTGGAGCCATGGCACTGCACGCCATGACGACATGCCGGGGCGTGCCTGCACCGTTCCGGCAGAGAGGGCACAAGCGAGGGTTGTCCGCTGCGGCCCACGCAGTGGCCAGCTCTTGCAGCTCAGCGCTGGAATGCAGCTTCTCTGTCCAGCTACCGCCAATTGCACGGTGTAGCCGGTAAAGCATCGGTGCCAAGTCCACGGTTTCTGTGTCACGCTGGAGCTGCCACCGCGCCCACTCTGGCGGGATACGGCAAGCTTGGTACCAGCGCACGTCCATACTTGCTGGGTGCAAGTGGTCTGAGCATCGCGCTAATTTGCCCTGCACTATGCGGGAAGACCATTGCCTGCATGCCTCCTGTCGGAGCAGAGTCCGCAACGCTTCCCGCGGTGGCCCCACGATCGACCACCCTTGCACGCTGAGGGCAGCAAAGAGTCCACCTGTGGGCCAGCGCACCGAGGGTGGCAGTGGCGCAGCACGGGCTGCTCCACACTCAGCGTCCTGCACTTCATTGCCTTGCACCACCACTGGGTGCGGAAACGCCCCCAGGCGCTGATGACTCTTATGTTTACTCCGACCAGGCCATGCTTGCAGTAGTCAAGGCTACACTGCGTCTGGGGCTTCCCGTCAGCCATCCTCTGCACATTCCAAAGTTCAGGGTGCATTTCTTGCTGCAAGCGCCAAGATGGGGTGTTGTCAGGCTCCTTCCAGCTTGCACGTACCTGTGACATAATGCGTCTCAGCCTGGCCTCAAAGGGGCCATGCCGCAGTGAGCGCGCAAATGCCTCTGGAGGATCGCTGCACCGGCGCAACGAAGCGAAAAGACTGCCACGGTCGACCACTAACATGTTCCATTGCCCATGCCGCCGCCACCGCATGGCACAAAGCATGGCCAAGAGCTCTGCTTCATGGATCCCAGGAGTAGCCCAGCCGTATTGAGCCGGCAGGCGGCCCGTCACAGGCGCATTAGTCACTGCCGATGTGCTCCAGTAAGTTGAGCCGTCGCCAAAGGAACGGGCTTGGGCGCTGAAGGTGGCTACGCCAGCAGCAAAACCCCCGTCCGAGTACAGGCTGCAGTCTCGGCCTCCACCCCACTCTGGCGCAAAGCAATCAAGCACTGCACTGCGAGGATCTGCAAGGGGAGACCATGGGTCATCCCAGGCGCAGCCTGTCCAATCTTCTGGAGCTTCAGAGTCTGCCACACCGTGCAGTCGTGTCTCAACTTGCCAATCTTGCTGAGATTGCTGCATGGCTGCCGCAGCGGCAGCAGCCAGCCCAGCCGCCCCTATCTGCGCGTGCGGCGCAGCTGCCTGCCAGGTAGCCGGGCTCGTCCATTCTCGGCTGCTAGCTCGTCGACTGCGCAAGTTGGCCAAGGTGGCGCGAACCGCATTTGCCAATGGTCCGACTCGGCAGTAGCGCAGCCCTTGACGAAAAGCTGTAGCATTGTACGGGCCGAGAAGCGGCTGGGATGGGTCGGCTGTAGCTGCTCGAAGGCAGTCGAGCATCCGTGAGCAGAAGCGGTCTGGGCCAACCGTGACATAGACGCCATACCCTGCCAAAAGGCGGAATGCGTCAGGCACCACGCCAGAGCAGTTCTCCACTTCATCAGGCGAGAGATTCAAGGCATGGCGCAAGGAGTCCCTTGCCACGGCTGAGGCCAGCGCGGAGCCACTGAGCAAGCTGATCAAGTCCGAGGCCGTCGCTGCCAGACAGCTTTCCACAACGGAAATCAGTTGCAAACCTCCTTGCTGCCTAGTAGCAAGGAGCCCCATTCTCTCCGCCGTACGGCGCACTCCCAGCCGTGCAAGGATGAGGCGCTGGAGAGCCGCATCTTCCTCATGCATTTGCGGTAAGCGCAGCATACCGATGAGCGGGGCATAGTTGATGTGGCCGCGCGCGCACCATTCGTAGAGCATGAGCACTTCATCCCACGCGCAGTGTCGCAGAGTGGCTCGCAGCCGCACATTTCTGAGCTTCTCGTGCAGGTCCTGCCTGGCTAGGGCGTGTTTGTCTAGCAAGGTCCCACGCTTTCCCAGCAACTTTTCAGCATCCCCAGCTTCAGACCGAGGTAGGATGGCATTGCAGACACCGCCTTGCCAGATGTCCCAGCCGGTCACTGCCAGCCCATCTGGAAGCAGCCGTTCCGCACCTTCCGGTAAAAGGCGTGCCGCATCCCAATCACTGGCGTAGGCCCTGAACTTGTGCCACGAGAAGCCTATGCCTGTGGCGCAGCTTGCAGCGGCCAACTCGTCAGTGATATCAAGGAGGTCAGCAGCTCCCCGGCCATAATGCTCAGCGTCATCAGCGTACGCAGCTGCAGAAATTTCCCGCCCGTGCGAGGTGCCATAGCAAGCCTTGCTCTGCTCCCGCATGCGCATCACTGGTTCTTGCGCTGCTTTGGACAGCTCAGGGGATGACATGGAACCTTGGGGGATGCCGCGCGTGACTTGCAGGGGCCGAGTTGGCCCGTGTCGCGTAATGATGCGGACACGCAGGTCTTGGAATGCATCCTGGTACAAGCGGCGAGTGGAGTCAGCAAACCCTCTTGCCAGGAGCACTGCATCTACTTGCGCCAACTGGATTGTATTGAAATACTTTTCAAAATCAGCAGGAATGCGGCAAAAGCCTTGCCCGCTGTGGCGAACGTCCTCAGCCACCAGCGCATCTAAATACAGGACATCTGCAGCAGCAGCGGCCTTGCGGTCATACGCCTTGTTGGCGCTGCTGTAGACAGCGCCAGGCTCGGCCGCTGCCCTGAATTCCGCACTGCGTCTGGCCACGGGGCCCTCCACTGCCTTAAAGGCTTCCTCACGCATCAGCAAGGGGCGCCAACCTCCGTGTGGCTTGGCGATGTTGACTTGATCTGCAAGCTTCAAGCAATCTGCAACCACTCCCGCATGTCGCTGCAGATCTAAAAATTCCCAATACAGCTCGACCACATCTTGTGGGAAAAGGCTCATGAAGGACAACTTCCACCCCGAGGGCCCAGGGCGGGACCACCTCATCTTGTTTTGAAGCGACTGTCGCTCTGCTAGAGTCGTGCAACCAGTGAAGTCTGGCAGCCGCCGCTCCGGTTGGAAAAGGAGCAATTGAAGAAGATCTCCTTCGTGAGCTTGGAATCGCTCCCACGTCCATGCTGCCACCGGCTGCCCGTTCACCGCTGCAATCAATCCCAAGGATGATGGAGTGGGACCGGGGGTGCGCAGCCACAGTGACCCATTGTCAGGGACAAGGAACATACTGTCCACCTGGACAGCCTCCATTATGACTTCTCTGACCCTGTACCAGCATATGCGCCATGGACCGTTGCAGAGATACGCTTGCTGGAGGGACGCACTCGGAAGGTCCCGTGGGGCAGAGAGAAAGTGTGGAGCACCCCGACGGCGACCAATGGCATCTTGCCACTCTACCACTGACTCGTGGGACCAAGCCGAAGTAGGTTCCTGTAGCAAAGGCAGCCACGCTTGCTCAGCACCAGCAAGGGTCTCTTGAACCGTTTGCGGCGGTTGCCTGTCACCTGTCGCATTGACAAAGCAGTCGGGCATGTACGACTCAGATGGGGCAGCTGAAGGTCTGAGGCATCGCGCCCAGCTTTGCAAGTCCCCTCGCCGTAGGAGGTCTAACCTCTCCAGGTGCCCTTTGCGTGCCCCCAAGCGATTTACCAGGGATCTGCACCGCGCTGCTTCTGCAATCAAGCCATTCACTTGGAGAAGGCCAGCATGAGCAGAACCAGCCAGATCTAAGCTGAGACTAGGGGGAGCGCGAGCCTCAGCTGACTCTGGCACCCCAGGGGCAGGGCGGCCGCTATCTGGAAGTGGGAGCCCACGCTCCCGGTGCCACCCTGCAGTCGCAGAGTAAAATCCATCCCAGTCCCAGTTGGGTTGGGGCCGCGCGGCTTGCCCTGTTCTGGCTTGTAGTCGTTGTGACATTGCCACTCCCTTGTCCCACAACGGTTGCAGCCTGGCCACATCTGCCGACACAGAGGCAGGGACCCTTGCGCGTGTCCCAGGGGGCAGGCGTGCCCTTTGCTGTAGCTGCTGCTTGGCCCATCTCAATTTACGCAAGCATTCTTCCCATGCAAAAGTCGCACGCTTCTGGGCTGTGCTTTGGCCAGGCGCAGGCATCTTTGGGAGACATTGCGCAAGACTGTCTTGTAGCTCAGCAAAGCTGCGCGAAAGCTCATCGCGCCACTCAGGGCTGCGTGGGTCGCCTGCTGGAGCCCAACTGAACATGCCTTCTGAATATCCTGCCATGGCAGATGGGGCTGAAGCAGCCAGCTCGTCTGTCCGGCTTTGCAAGGCAAGTTTGAGAAAATCCAGCGTGGAGCGCAGTTGAAAAAAAATCTGTTGCCGACACAAAACGTTCTGTTTAGCGAGCCAGGCCAAATGCTCTCTCTGTGGGCCCTGTATGCCACGCACCAATTGCCGCCACTCTTGGGCACGGGAGTTCTGGTGATCAGGAATCACTGGCAAAGTGCAGATAAGGTCTACCACAACAGGGTCATGATCAACCCGGCGGCTCCAGTTCCACAGGATGGCAGCGTTGGCCACAAGCATGTCATAGCCAGGCGGAGACTTTACCCAGATCTGATCAAGGCGAGATGCACCGTTGGTGCCCCAGAAAAAAGTAAAGGCCCGAGTGTCCGGGTGCTGGGCCCCCAAGCCGAGTTGATAGGCGCAGCTGGCAAGTGTGTCTTCGCGGAGCACTGCGCCAGCCGCCCATCTGTCGAGTTCTAAACTGAGGAAGGAGTTGAAGTCTCCAAGCGCCACTACAGCCCAGTTGTGTCTTGCTGCTTCATCCAGCTGGGACTCAAGAAACTCCCGCAACAGCCTTTCTTGTTGCAGTGCTCCAGCTCGGGATCTGAATCCAGGGCTGTTTGCCCCAACAACCCCGTAGAGCGCAATGAAGCGGACCACCGCCCCATCCGCAAGGACAAGGTTGGCTGCTAGCCCGCGCCCGCTTGTGTCTCGGGCAACATGTTGCCAGGAGCCTGCGTAGCCGGCTCGGACAGCCAAGGCAACGCCGCTGCCCCGTCCACCTGGAGCAGCAACATTGTGCAGAATGCCCACATAGCCTTGCGCAAGCAAGCCAGCCCGCGCTCGGCCCGCAGCGCCCTCGCCAGGGTGCCAGGTTTCCACCAGGGTGGCAACATCAGCACCCAGTTCACTGATTGCTCGGCCCCACCAGTCGCCCCAATGCTGCCAGTCAGCACCGACACCGCCTGTCTGGATTGTAGCCAGCCTGGTTGTCTGCGAGCCCTTCCAGCTCACGTCATCACC